TCAGCACTCTCTCCTCAACAAACATTTTTGTATAATGACTCAGCTTTAAGTTTGCTCCTGTTAAAATGAAAATAAAAGCAAATAGGTTTGGGATATTGGGGGAGTATTAATCCTCCTACTAACATTATCTTAAGTGTACTTAGTCACGTCCATAGTAAGTTCTTAAATATAGTATGGAATTGAATGTGTGAGAATTTCTGGAGTTTGATAGGTAGCCCTAAACTCACGGAGAAAATAGTATTATCACCAGCATCAGGTAAGGGACTAGGAAGAAAATAATAATTAGGCTTGGGAATTAATCCTAAATGGAATCAAAGGGACTTCAACAGCAACAATCTTAAGCACACTTGAACAAAAGCATTTCTTTTGGGGGTGAGGGAGATATTTTAAGAGGGATAAAGAAAGCCTTTACCCCTTGATAGAGCACTTCCTGTGTGCAGGTGCTTTACATGTTACCTTGTTTAATATTACACAACCCTGTAGAGGAAATGGAACCCTGGTGGCACAGTGGTTCAGAGCTCAGTGGCTAACCAAAAGGCTGGCAGTTCAAATCCACCAGCTGCTCCTTGGAAACCCTGGGGGGCAGTTCTACTCTGTCCTACAGGGTCGCCGTGAGTTGGAATCAACTCAACAGTAACAGGTTTGGTTTTGGTTTGGTAGAGGAAGTATTACCACTATCTTACAGATGTGGAAACTGAGGCTTAAGGAGGTTAAATAAATTGGTCATGTTTACACAGCTAGCCAGCAACAAATTAGAAAGTCAATCTCAGTCTTTGTAATAATAAGAATAGGTTTGAATGCTCACTAAGCTAAGGGCACTCTGCTGCATTTGCATATATTATCTCATTTCATTCATTTTTACAACAACCCAAACTTAACCCAACCTTTGAAGTATTATTTCATTCTCATAGTTCAAATAAGAAAACAGATACAATTATGTAACTTCCATAATGTCACTCAGCTAGTAAGTGTGGGCATCAAGATTTGAACACAGGCTTAGGTACGTAACCTTCACCCTTCATTGAAGTAAGCCTTTCTACTTCCTCTTTTAGAAGGAAGAGGCTTCTGTTTTTCAGAACATATATATAGCACACAATATCTTAGTTTCAATTCTTTTTTTTCAAGTTCCCATCATGTAGTTAAGCAATAGCTAGGACATTTTAAAATCAGTCAAGTGTCTCCATAACAGTTAGCAAAATAAATTAGATAAGTGCCATCTGCCTGGCTAAACTGCTACCCTAAGATGCAGGTGAACAGTTTTGGTGCTTGGAATACTCTAGGTGGTCTCCCTAGAAGTCATTTCACAGTTAGACTATAGGCTAAATTTATCATGAGAGAGAGCTGATCATTGTGCTCTTTCTCAAGTAGCTAGATCTGTAGACAAAAGTCCTGTTCCTTACAGTCTTCAGAGGATGTGGGCCACTGCTACTACAGAATGGATGGACAACCCATGTTTCTTTGATTTTGTTACCCTGGTCAGGCTAAGCTTACTTATTAGCAATTAAGTGATAGGAAGTCTAGAATTTTTTAGTTACTTCTTAACAAACTTTACAAAAATTTTATCTCTTAACCCTTTCATCTGAGCACATCTAGCTATATTTGAAACTATTTCAATTCATTTGTTAGTATTTTTACAAAACGTTCATTTAGCAATTTTATACTCTACTTCTTCCCATTTAATTTTATTGCCCATTACTTATTCTTAAATTGAGAATTTTTTATGGCTATTCCATTACTCCACTGAATGCATATACTTAACTATCTCCCCACCACTGAGTAATTAGGTTATAATGCTATTATAATGAGGACTTTAAAAATATAATTATTATTTCATATTATTTCCTTAAGAAAGTTTTACAAGAAAAAGATTATTGGATCAAGAAAATCAGAGAATTTTAACTCACCAAGTCCTGGACACAACTCTCTGGCCTCTGAGAAACTGTGCAATGCCTGGTCAAATGTGTAACAGTGATCGCTATACCGGATCCATTGTGGTCCATATCCTTTTGCTGCTGGACACCTGGTTGAGTATGTATGAGGGGATTGCTCTTTAGCTATAAAAATTTGAGACACAGTTGTAAAAATGCAGAGAAAAAGTGATTGCCTTTTCCTAATCTCATTAAATGTTTCTATTTTGAATTATTTTTCCTGTGGGTAAGAAGCATTTAATTCAGTATACACGCTGGAGAAAGTCACAGCCCGTACACTAAGAGTGTATATTCTAATCAACTTTTGGAATATCATTTTTTAAACTTAGAGGCTAGAGGAAAGTACTCAGCCCTCTGAGTTGGATTTAGACAAAAGTTAAAATAACTGGAAAGACAGAAAAGAGAAAGAAGCAAAGACAGGATGGACCTGTAATTAATCTGAAATTATACTTAAAATTCTTTCTTTCCTTGGGTTCTTTTTTATTATGATAATTTAATCCTAATTTTACCTATATAAAAATGCTTTTAAAAATCACACCCACAAATAAAAACTTGGTAATTTGTTTACAAAGCACACTATATCAGTACAGCAAAATCCATCTCAGAGAATCAAAGTAGGTGTGGCTTCTCAGCTCTTAAAAATCCCCATGGTTTCCATTTCAATAGTTTGTTTAGCTGTGCTTGCATAACACAAGAAGCCTGTATATGAAGCTTGTGCTTCTTACTTAACCTGTTATTAATTCCAGTAGAAGAAAGTTATAAGACCTAGAAAGTAAATTGTTAATGTCCAATACCATGTCAGTATCCAACCTGATACCAGACAAGTAATCCCAACATAAACTGTTGCTTTGTAATGAATTCTGTATAATCTGCAAGCCCTTCAATAACTGAAAGCTTTTCCTGTGTTTTTCTCCAGATCTCAGTTTGGTAGAGTCCTTATCTGTGGTCTTTGGGATTCTAAAAGATTGGCTGCTGCCATTTTTCTTCTTCATCAAAAAACTTTTTGGTGGCTCTTAATTCCTTCTGCTTCTCTTTATCCTGTTTCTCCAGCTAGGTTTGATATTTTTGAACTTTAGTTATTTGATTGGCTTTTGCCTCCATTCTTCCCAGTAAGGCTACCAGTTTGAGGTCTAAGTCTTCCTTCATTCAACTGTTGGTGACTCTTGGATACATTTTGCTAGCTGCTGCTGATCAAAACTAATCTGCCCAAATTCATCTGTGAAATCTCTAAGATTTTGACAACTCTATTAATGCTACTGATGGAGACAGGTGGTACTAGCAACTTCTTGCTTTTACCACTTTGGGAAGATAGTTCCTTTTCCAAAGGAATACTGTTGACTATTCCTCATTGCCCAAGGTTTATATTGCTTCATTAGATGCAAAACATGTTTAACATTAGCTACCACAGCATGGCTAGGACTAGTGGACTTTTCTGGTGATTTTTACTTCTTTTTTTGAATTACTTTTGCACTGGGAACATATGGAGATGCCTTATCTTCAGAGATGACAGTCTGCAAATGACTAGCATGCTTTAGCTTGCATACATTTCCTTTCTTCCTATTCTTCATGGGGGATTTTGCTTCCAACTCATTTTTTTTTTTCCTGTAAGGGTCTGCATTGTAAGTTTGTTATATTCTTATCCTCTTAAAGAAGACTTAATTATTCAAATTGGCCCTGAACTTGTAGTTGATCATGTTGTCATTCTCTTTCATCCTATAATGTCTGTTTCTCTTAGGTAGACATCCTCTCCATTTCTGCATGCTTTATCATATTTCTCATGTATCCCAATTGTTTTTAGAAGATTACATTTATTTTTGAACTTAACAAAAATATCATTTCTTGGTATCTTTATGCTTTATTTATATATTCTCCCTTTCTTATATCTGTTCATCCAGTACTTTCTGGTATTTACTTGTTTTTCTAGACTTTTTTTCACTTGCTTCTGCCTTACTCTGTTCAAGTTCCAAACATTGAATCTTTCCTTGAAAATTTTTCAGAGCAGGAAACATGACGAACACAGAGAACCAGAGGCTTCAGAGATCAATGACACCACTCAGCTTTCTGCCTGCCCAGCAGGCCTCCACAGCTCTGGGGAGGTCTGGGGTCTTGTGCTCATCCTCAGTGCTCTAGCTTCAACCACCAGGGGTGACCCCAAGCCTAGCCCCTGATAGAAGAATCTCTTTCTTTGGATTTCGAGAATCTTGTAAGTTTGGAAAACGCTTGGGTACCCACAATTAAACAGGCTTCTTTATTACAGAACCTCTCAGAGACTTGAATATGGTAAATCACATGAGGTATTTCCCAAACATATGCTATGGAACCCTTTATCAAAGGAACTTCTTAGCCTTTGAAAAACAGTGCTAAATGAAAAGAGAATTTACAAATTTTAGAGTAAAACATACCCAGTGATAGAACAATTGAAAGTCTTTGGGAACAAATTCCCTGAATGGACATATTATATTTCTTTCTATTAATAAAATATCAAAATTATTTTTATAGGACTTGTGGATAAACATATTTAAAATATATAAAAATTCATTTGAGTATTTTATCATGTACATAAAAAATGTCATATTTTAGTAAACATACATTTATTCAAAATCAAGTCTTACATTTTGTAGGTTTATAACAAATAGCACCATCCTTAACAGAGTTGCATTTTTCATGTTTCCAAATTGCTTTTGGATCCAAGACAACACAATTTCCAGGAGATTTTTGGCCTTTCCATGGGATATAGTCAAATGTGCTGCCATCAGACCATTCAAAACTTGATTCACTTCCCTGTTTTAAGAACAGCAGTAACCTAAATTCAGATGTATGACTTCACAAAGAACATAAAGAACAGCATACATACTTTAAGAAATATTGAAATATTGGAATCCTTTGCTTACAAGTGTAAAATCGGGTTACCTTTGGTATATATGAATTGGGACATCTGCTCTGGCACATTTTAAGTGGGATGTGAAGCTAAGAGACAGAGTTATTATGCTAAGTTTATTTTTTTAAGGATGAGTTTACGTAACACCTGAAATTAAATTATGTACAAATGGCTTTCATTTGTTACAATTACAGGTTTACAATTCCAACCTTCATATTATCCTGAATGTGTCTCCGGTTCCATTTTTCATATTGCAAAGGCCAACAAGCAGGAGGGGCTGGAGAAGGAAAGAAAACACCTCCCAAGAAGCTCACACAGAAAGACTATTTTGATTTTTCGTTGAAATGGTATAATCCTAAGTTGCTATCCTTTCTTTTATTATCCCCACTTTGTTCTATTAATGATTTAAGTTAAGCCTACAACTCTAATCTCAATAGATGATTATTTTTTGTATAACAGACATTATTATAGATATGCAACATACTAATTATAAGATTCAAATAGTGACATAGGAGAGGTGTTTACCAGCAAAGATGAATCTCAAATAGTGCTAATTTCTCAGGGAAAAGTAGGAAGAAAATACACACTTATTAGTCCTAACATGTACTAAGAATTTTACTTGGCACTTTATATAATTTTTTTGGTTAATCTTTACTATAATCCTATCTCAAGGTAAATTATCACCCCCCAGTTTTACAGATGAGGAAATAAGCTTGCAATGGTTAAATAACTTGCTCATGGTTACTCAATGCATAAATGGAAGGCCTGCCACTATTATTGAATTCAGGTTTTTCTGATTCTGTGCTATTCTCATTTTACCAGCTTTCTAACTGCTCTACCCCAAATAGGTTACAGAGGTGTTGTTGAGATATTAATCCACTAGGCCCTTGGAATGGCCTGGCAGGGTCTAGGGGTAAGGAGCTGCAATTCCAGGCCACTTATCCCAGGACACTTTACAAACATATTTTTGTATTAGTTCTATGTTGTGAAAAGGTAAGACTACAATGCTATGCAAATTGAGTGCCGGACTTAATCTGATGCAGTACTTTGAATTAATATTTTATCCTAATATTTCCAACTCTCAGAGTAACAGGTTTGAAAATTTTCTGGAAAACAAAATAAGGCAAAAAACAACAACAAAATAAATCCATGATTTATAGCCCTTAGTTAATCTCTGCTCCTACTTTAAACAAGCATATATAAAAAAAAAAACACTGAGAATATATGGCCATATGGGTTATAAATTCACACACAAAATGATATAAGGTATACTTACATCATGACTCGAAAGCCCAACCCATAATGGAAATCCATCACGTTTTACAATATCTTCCAGAAAGAGCTGACCTTTTTGGCCATGAACACTTGCCAAATGACCTCCACTTTGAGAACACATGTTTAATGCTTCATACCATGTTACTTTTTTTTGAATAACATTATAAATACTGTCTTCATACGGAATAAACTGTGGCAGAGTAGCATTATATTCTTCCTTGTAGTCAACTATAATGTTTAAATAAAAGGTGTTAGTGACGAAATTTAAATGATTTAAAATATATATTTTGGGCAAGACTGGACATGCAATCATTTTAAAAGTTAAATAAAACTGGGTTTCTTATTAATCAGAGAAGTAAAAAACATACTTTATTTTTCTTATTTCCACAAGACATATAGTAGGCACTTAAATAATTACAGCTGGCTGGTTGATTAAGGAGCCCTGGTGGCACAGTGGTTAAGAGCTTGGCTACTAACCAAAAGGTTGGCAGTTCGAATCTACCAGCTGCTCCATGGAAACCCTATAGCAGTTCTACTCTGTCCTGTAGGGTCGCTATGAGTCGGAATGGACTCAACAAGTGGGTGTGTAGTGTGCGGTTGTTTAAAAAATATATATAAACATAGTCTTTCATTTAAGGGGCTCACACATTAGTTGGAAATACAAAACCACAACACCTGAAATAAGGGCAACACAATTAACCACTGGAATACGTTAAACTGATCAGAGAAAAAGTAACTCATCTAAATCAGAGAAGTTAGGAAGCCTGACTAGGCCTGGAGGGCTAGGTGAGATTAGGATTAAAAAAGAAATAATTTGGAAGGCTTCTTGGCAGGAAGAAAACATAAAAAAGGTGCAAATATGAGGATGGGTGTAGACTGTACATAGGATAATTATGAAAGCCTGACTAAGAAAAAGATGCTTACTGAGCAAGACCGGGGAGAAAATGCGGTCTTGGAGAAGGCCTTGAATTTTAGAATAGACACTGGTTTTTAAAAAGTCTCAAAAGCTTACATGGACTCAATTGATAACTGACAACTGATAATAGGGAGTCCATGGAGATTGTTGATAAAAATGGTGTTTCAGGAAGTTATTCTAGCAGTACCATGAAGGGAGAAGTCAGATGCAACTGAGACAGGCTCTGTGTTAGGAGAGGGCTTAGAGAAGAGTGGCAGTAATAAAAGTTCGAAGTCATCAAAAAATTTTAAATCAACATGCATTTTTAAATAGATTTATTTAAGGAATTAGGTGAGGTTGGGAGACATTCATTTTTTTCACCTGGAATTTCAGAACTCAACCCACACATACTTTCTTGTTTATAAAAATCCCATGCAGTCTTTAATGACCAACCAAATTTCACCTCCTCCTCAAGGCATTTTTCAGTTATTTCTGTTCTCATAGATCTCTTTTGGCTTTCCAAAAAATTTAAGTCTGTATCAAATAACCTAAAGATTAACCTATATAAAACAATGATAAAGAATCTAATGCTGTCTCTCTAACTATATTTTACTCCTTGAAGTCAGAGACCAGGACACCAAGCACCATGTCATATTCTTCCTCCATATCCTCCAAAGCACCCCATGTAGGACTGAATACAGAGGAGGCACAAAAAAACACAATTTCATGATTCCCACTAGCGAAGCTACTGAGAAAAAAGATGCTTACTGAGCAAGCATGGGGAAAAAATTATATTCTCTTTCCCTCGAGTGGAAATCCTATATTATCATACTTACCCATTTCAATTTTACAAGCAATAATGCTGTGCTGGTAAAAATAAACTCCTTCTTTAATAAAACTAAAAGTTTGAAAATCCCAGAGGCCATCAGTATGCAAACCAGCAAAAAACTTGTCATTTTTTATATTTGGTCTTCCTGTTCTCCAGTTTGTATACGACAGCATGGTGTTGTCAGACCACATGAGAGAATTACCTGGAGAAGAAACATTTATACCATGCTTAGAGATTAAATAATGACTCTAATTACAATTATGAGGTTAACAGTAAATCATGCTTATTTTTAATCTAGAAAATTATAAGCACAAAAATTAAAATTTACCTTTAATCCTATCACGCTGCAATAACTTAACAATTAGTTACTTTTTTAATCCAGTATTCATTTGTTTTACATATACTAACACGTTTAATTGCAATGGAAATGAACATAACTTTTTAATAAGAAATCATTGATATATTACAAAACTAGGAATAGAAATCTCTTCTCTGGACCTAAACTGTACAATTTCTTATGGTCAATTGATTTTTGACAAGGATGCCAAGGCCATTCACTGGGAAAAGACTAGTCTTTTCAACAAATGATGCCAGGACAACTGGATATCCACATGCAAAAGAATGAAGTTCAGCCCCTTCCTTATACTATATACAAAAATTAACTCAAAATACATCATAGACCTAAATGTAAGAGTTAAAACTACAAAACCCTTAGAAAAAAACATAGGAGTAAATCTTCATGACCTTGGATTAAGCAACAACTTCACAACCACTAAGATGGCTATAATAAAAAAGATAATAACAAGTGTTGGTGTGGATGTGGAGAAAATTGAACCCTCGTACACTGCTAGTGATATAAGAAATGGTACAGCCACTTTGGGAAACAGCCTGGCAGTCCTTTGAAAGGTTAAGCAGTGAGTTATCATATGATGCAGCAATTTCACTCCTAGATATACACCCAAAAGAAATGAAAACATATGTCCACACAAAAAACTTTTACATGAAGATTCATAGCAGCATTATTCATAATAGCCAAAAAGTGGAAAAACTCAAATGTCCATCAATAGATAGAAGGAGAAACAAACTATGGTTTATCTATATAATAAAATATTATTCTGCCATAAAAATAATGAAGTACTGATACATGCTATAACATGGATGATCCTTGAGAACATTATGCTAAGTGAAAGAAGTCGTTACAAACGACCACAGAGTGTATGATTCCACTTATATGAAATGTCCACAATAGTAAATCCACAGAGACAGATTGTAGATTAGTGATTTCCAGGGACTGGGGGAAGGGCATGAGAGGAATGGAAAACAAAAGAACAACAACAACAAAAATGGAGCCCTGGTGGCACAGTGGTTAAGAGCTTACTGGTATGATGTTTCTTTTTTGGTTGTTTCTGGAATCAGATAGTGGTGATGATTGTACAAGATTGTGAATATACTAAAAACAGTGAATTGTATACCTTAATATGGTTAAAATAGTATATTTTATGTTGTGTGAAGCTTCTCTCAATTTAAAAAAAGTGAATTGTGATTTTTTTTAAATTATAATATTTTTAGGAGGGATACCTAAAACATGTAGACACTGCTCTGGATAGTTCAAATCTTATCCTTGAATTAAAATTGCAAGTGACACCCCTGAACCATATTGTTTTAGCTGCTGAAATGCTCTTCAGCACTCTGGCTGCCACTAAGGCCCCTTATTAGGCCCTTTTGGGTAAATGTATGCTTTTTATTTTTTATGCCCACAGACTCGTTTTCCTTTTCCTAAGTCCAAAACTTCTATAATTTTTTCAGGACATCTCTAATTGAGTATCTTTCTAAATTGGTCACCCCACTTCCCATTAATGGAATCTGTATTTTTTAAAAATGTCATACAATCATATCTTGGATTCAGTTCAAATTTCAAATATTCCATCCCACTGTCAGACTATGTATCTCATGTTTCTAATAAATATATGCTTATCATGTGTATTCCCCAAGCCAATGTTATTAACCAAAGGTGCAACATATTAGAAGTGCGATTCTGTTCTTGCTCATAATACATACTTGGTAGAGATAGAAAGTAAATGTTGTGGATTTATATGGTAGTGTAATCATTTTTTGTTAGTGTTGAGTTGCTAGGAGGGAGAGCAGAAAAAGGAAATTATTTTCCATCACTGAAATCTAAGCGTGGTGGTAAAGGTATGTTAACAGCAGAGTGAAGACATAAAAACTGTCTTGATTTTATGTAAGTTGTGTTAAGTGCAGAATTACATTTTAGTATACTGATAAACACACCAAAAGTGTTTTTTTACACTAGAAGAACTATATTTTGTAACTTAATAAATAGGTTGTAATGAAGCATAAGTATAAACAGAGAAAATCAAAAGATGTATAACTTACTTTCATAGGTTATACCTAACAATACCCATGAAGCCATATAATTGAAGTGGAGAAGTTGCTCAAGAACAAAGTTATTCTCTCTTTCATCTCGAATACTCAGAATATGTGATTTTGGATCTGTTAAATAAAAAAAGTCATCAATTTTAATAATTATTTATCCAAACACTTTGTTTTGCTTGGTAGCATTAAAATATTTTATTCTCTCACTTTAATATATTATAAAACTTAAATGATAGTGGGAAATTAGAAAGACACGTAAATTAAAACTATCTCACTGCACTAAAATGAACAGGTTAAAAAGTCTTCAAACATTTTGATGATAAATTCGGTCTTACAATATAGTGGAAAACTAGTAGCTGAGTAGAGATGTTAAAACACTGAGTTATTTCACTTCCCCATTTAAAGTCCATTTCCAGTTGGTACAAACCCAATCCCACCACCGTGGAGTCGACCCTATCAGACAGAGTAGAACTACCCCATAGGGTTTCCAAGGCTGTAAATCTTTTTTTTTTTTTT